GTATTCATTGCAAATAATACAACACTAGTAATTATCTACTTAAAATAAGTTAACATAGTTGTATTTTTATTATTTCAAATGTGAGTCATCTTATTCTATTGGCAAATTATCTTTTTTACTTGCTCGAAACAAGGTAAAATGCACTTATTTCTGGAAATATAGACTTAATATTTTAATTTAAGTTTTTGCAGTGTGCACATTATTTTTTTAGACTTGATCACAGAATTACAGAAAACCTAATGTGAGTAACCTAAAGTTTTTAATTCAAACTTATTCTACACTGATAAACCTCATAACCTATATCTGCAAAGGCAAAATTTATGTACGGAAATATTTGGGTATTTAATCGGCTCATTTTACCCAGCGCATTTCTTGTTTTCTCTTCCACTATCCAGTATTTAATTTCTCTTTTTACTCTCTTCTGGGTGAGAAGAAATGTCTTTATTTCTTTAAAGTGCTTTCCTTTTTTTCTGTCTTTAGATGGTACCTGAGTTTTTTAGTTATATGAATAAACCAAATTGAAATCACCCAGGTAAAATGAAAAACACTTCCACTAAATGTGTTGTTTCAAAAATCTCTTTTTCTCCTCCTTTTTGTTGCTGCCAGCAGGATTTGCCGCTGCCTCGCAAAAACAGCAGGTGAGTGTTACTTTTGTTTACTTCCTCTCCGGCTCTCTGCATGTTCTTTTCCATCCTCCCCTTTCATAAAGCTGACAGCAATTCAAAGCACATGAATCTTGTTTGTTGATGTGAGTTTAATATTTCATTTGAAAGCAACGAGGCGGTTTGTTGGAGCTGATGGTGTTTTGTTGTACATGGTGTGTGGAGGATGAAGAGGACAAGAACGCCTCCTGCAGAGCAGCTGGAGTTTGTCAGACTTTGATTACTACCAGCTGTAATCTGTGGATTCTGTCCTCTGTGCTGAAGGATCCTTATCGCCAGTACTAATTAGTTTTTAATCCATCAGTGTTCCACTTTCTTTTCCGTTTACCTGCTTGATCCTTCTTGTTGTTCAACCATTTAAATTTTAATTAGTCTCAGTGTTTATTGTTGTTACAAACTTAGAGTTGTCTTTATTGTTTCTCAGATTCTTATTACCAATTACATATCTGGGGTTCTATTGCAGTGGCTCGTGAATTGTGAATAGACAAAAGCATCATTCTTTTGCAAATTAAAGTATCTGAACTAAAAATGAAACTAAACTTGACACAATAAAAATAATGAATAATGTATTTATAAAACAATATATTATTGGCAGACAACATACAATGCTATATTGTGACATTTGCAGTATTTCTCTTGTTTTACCAGTCTTGTGTTTTTTACAAAGAGTCTCAATGCATCTTAATCATGTCTATTTTGTTTTAAAACAGCTGAAGTTATGGGAAATACTTCACAGCTGTACTAACTTCTATGTGGAATAATTGTTGGAAACAGTGTTGCCAGATTGGGTGATTTACCACCCAGTTTGGCGGTTTTTATTTTGATTTTGAGGGTAAAAATTGCTTTGGGAAGGTGGAGATAATTTGTGCTGGTTAACCTATTAAAACACGTGTCCACCAATCATTCATTATTACTGGTCCATAGCAAAGCCTCCATCACTGATTAGCTAATGTCATCTGCCAGGGTGTTTACCACAGAGACCTAGTGTAGTGGTGCCACAAATTATGCTAGTTTTTGCAGCAGGTGGATCTGATGTGATAAGCCTAGCGCTGACGATCGATGCGTTCAGGTTGGAAGAGGAATCTTTTAACCTCTTAATACCCACCTGATTTTGGGTAATCCTCACCTATTTTGCATACGCAAATGAAAAAGCTGTCATGATTTTATCTAAGGCTCGGACCCACACGCAGTGAAGCATGTGGTTCAGGCTCAGTGGGAAATTGGAGTTGTAAATCTTGAGGGAGAGGATTTGTTGCCACTCACGTTTCCAGAGAAGAAGAGAAGCGTAGACTCCAGTCTGTGTGTTGGTCTTCCAGAGTTTGTTTGATTCGTTGGAGGGCGGAACAGGGTTTAACCAGAACTCGGACAGAGTGGAATGATGCAGCCGCTGGTTGCAACTTAGTTTTCCTGTGGTACTTGAACGGGTCGTGGTGAAGATGACTTCCATACTCAGAGAGATCTCAGCGTGCTCAAAGGTGGCTGGATCCAAACCTCCTGTTTGGAATCCGTCGCTCAGTGTAAGACTCAGTTGGGAGAGGGTGGTCCGAAAAGGTCCAGTTTGCAGGAACGCATCCTGCCGAAAGGCAGAGAACAAACAAAGTTGAATCTCAGGGAGAAACAAGTGTTCAGTTAAACTCAATGTGATCTCAGCTTGGCTAGAGAACAAAAGCTCAGGATCCAAAAACTCAGATTAGACTCAGAATAACAAGGCTTGGCTAGAGTACCCTAGCCTGGGTGCCAGTCCGAACTTAGTCCCGCCCACAAGGTTTGAGTTCGGGGAAGTTCGGTCTGGCTCTGCTCCATAGTAGCGCGAGTATTAAAGCCCACTGTCAGGCGATCCAATCAAATTGTCAGGGCGGGCTTTATACAATGATGGACAGATGATCAAGAGTAACGTTATCAACCACGTGACCAAAGCGCGCTTGGGTAACAACAATAATGGCTGCCGCTGGAGAGTTTGGGTGAGTAGATTCTGCTATTAGGTCTGTTCTAGAAGATATCGACAGCAAATTAATTTTAAAAGAGAAACAGAGAAACGCGATCAAGGCTCATCTTCTTATTCTAGGCGTGAAACTGCACGCTTTAATTTTTGTGGACAACAACTATGCCTCGCTTAACATACGTCACGCACTCCATTGCTCTTATTGGTTGTAGGTCTATCCAATTGAGTGCAGAGGCATTTTTTTTCCTGGTTCGTTCGAAACACGCCCCATAATCACAGCTCTATGGAGCAGTATCAGACTCATATTCTGACCAGAATTGAGTCGGACTACGTCAGGCTAAGAGTACCCCATACTGGCAAACACTCTGGCGTCAAAGTAGTGGCAACCAGCAGCTTAAGAGCAGTCCAGTGATGAGGTAACCGTTTGCAGGTGTGTGAGGAGGCGAACCGGAGCCAGGCGCCTCCTGGTGGAGGAAGGGAGAAACACAAAAGACAAGACACAAAAACTGGGATCCTGACAAAAGCAAATAACTTAGAAACTGTAAGCCCAAATTACATGTGCAATACATTATTTGAAGGCTAACACCCCCTACTTTCCTAATATATAAATTAAAATTGGGTGAGTAGAACACAGACCAACCTACATCAGTTCGAACATGACTCAAAGTTTTTGTTTTTAATTCTCGGAAATGATAGGTCTTTTTTGAACAGAAGTAATAAAGACATTCTTGAAATAATGCAGGTTTTATTGTATTATATTTGCTCTACATCATGTCAACCACAAATACAGAAAATGTCAGACCTCTAGCTATAACAGTTCCAGAGCTGTGGGCTGTGGAACTTTTGGTGTCAGCTTGGAGCTGTGCGCAATGGCTCCACCTGCTGGCAAAAATTTTACCGGTGGAATTTTACACATTCTGAATTATTACCCCCACTTAATGTCCACCTGGTCCCTGGTGACCCCGGTCGGATTTAAGTGGTTAAAGATGCTTTAGGAAACCGCTTCTATCGGGATTTAGCGCTTGGTTCAATTAAACTCCCCGCCCTCCCTATATCAAGCTCGCAAGTTGAAAGTGCTTTTTTACAAGTTGCTCTGCTGGAAGCCGACTCCAGACATCGCATGAGCCTGTCGATACTGTGAAGTTTGATGGATCTGCAAACCGAACTAACACAGAATGGATGGACATCAGCAACATTCCGTCCTCGCCGACAGTTAGATTTCATTCAACCATGTACTGACCTCAAATCACAATGGATTGTGTTATAGTTCATCGGAGATAAAGTTCAGCGTTCCAATGTTCAATGTTCCAGCCATCAATCTAATAAGCATTAAAGGTAATAATTCAAACTCAACCATAATAAATGTAATTATTTCAGTGATGTAAAAATAAGTTTTGCATATTTGTGAGTGAGCACTGATCATAGTTTGTCTTCTAAAAGTAAAAAGAGGAGTAATCTACATGGTTATGAATCCATCTGCAAATGTGTTAGTATTGGTATATAATGTGTCACATGACACTAGATCTGACATCACTGTGCTGGCTGGGTCAGTTGTTTATGGAGAACAACTCTGGGCAGATTTAGTTGAATTGTAGCATTTTGTTTTGAAATGTTGTGTTGAATTAGGTTATACTGAAGTGTGTTCATGTTCACACAGTGAATATAACAATATATTAATTGGGCAGGTTGTTGTGTGATGTGACTCTTTCAGGCAACAATGGTTGGAAATATGCTGGCTTTATCAAACTGTTCTATTTTGTATGGTGGCTGAGGGGTGCCAATGCCTGCATAAATACATGATTTAAAAGCAAAATCAAAAGGTTGTGCAAACTCAAAAGTAAAAATAGCAAATGGAAAAATGCTGCAAGTTGCAAAAACAACTGCAAGTTAGGAAAAGCTGCAAACTAGCTGGAATAATGGAAGTGCTCCAAACCACTAGGTGAAAACAATCAATCTGGGACCAGAACATAGACAACTCAAATTAATATTAATAGGCAAAAACAGAAATGGTATGCCATCCAAAGGACATTTGGAAGAAAGATTTTTTTTAAAGTATGTTTTCCTCTGAATCTTTTTTAAATATTTAAACCTCCTTAGGCTTATTTACACCTGTACTAAGAGTCTGTCCCTACATGACATGATGATTATCTCCCCCTAGTGGTCTGAAGCACCTCAGTTATATGGAGCTGGTTGGCAGATGATGTTTCTTCATTTTGCTTGAAACATTAATTTTAAGGCCATATTACCATAGAAATGGTCTACAAATGTTAAATAGAGATGATAACATGTTTCTTTTTTTATCGAACACTCGTTTATTTCCAAGCTTTAACCATTTTACCCAAGAGGTAACCCTCAGATGAAATATTTTTGGTAGGATTTAAAACAAACATAAATATATATAACAACTGAATCAAATATATTCTTTAGGGAGTTTTTTTTTCCCAAAATCTGCAAAAGTAGTTATTAATGTTTGCCAGATGTAGGTTGTTTTGTTTTCACTCCTGTCTCAGTTCATCCCAAACCAGCTAAATGGGGTTTGAACACAGATCTTTCCACTGCATGTTTTCATGTTTATTTTGTTCTGTTTCCAGATTTAGTTGTGACATAGCTTGGACTCATGTTTTGGGTCATTAGCTTGATGTAAAATGAACCCCTGGCCAAGTAGTCACCTTTCATGCCGCTGTCATTTTGGTTCAGAGGGTTTCTCATTTTGTACAGCTCACCGACACTGGATCCATGAAAATTATGCAAACCATTACATACTTCTATGTTTGACAGTTAATGTCACACACAGAGGAACTTTCAAATGTTGATTCATCAATCTATAACCCTTTCTTTCAGTCTTCAGTTAGTCCATTAGTAGTTTTTCATGGCCCAGGCAAGCCAGTTTGCCTTATTCTGTCGTCTTAGCAATGGTTTTCTTGCTGCAACTTGTCCAGTCAAACCTGCAGTCCTCTTTTCATGGCTGAAGCTGAGATCTTTCTATCAGCATCTACCATCAAACTGTGCTGGAAGCTGTTGATTTGTGGGCTGC